TTCGTGGATTGAGCCACTGGTGAAATAAGAACTCCAGTCCAAGCATCGTAACATGTATTGTATCTCCTCCCAGATGGCATTTTTGTGTCGTCTAACTGTGGTTGTTTTTGACCTGGGAGCTAACGTGGTTCTGGGAGATATTCGGAAGTCACCAGACACTACTCTGTGACCTCTGCCAGGGAATTCTGGACCGACTTGAAGGGTGAAGGGCAATAATCCATTGGTCAAAAAGTGGTCAAGTATGCTATAAGTTCCAGTTGGTTGCACTACATGTTGGCGCCATCCTCCAGAATCCAACACACTAATAAAATTATCAAACCGCCTAGGAGAAGTAAGTGTCTGCCACTTGATGTCAGGCATATTAAAGTCACCGCATATAAGTTTCATGGAGTAGAGCAGCGTTGTTACATGGGTGAACACTTCTGCAAGCCTGTCGTTATAATCTACAGTAGAGCGAGGGGGACGGTAGATACACCCTAAGAGGATAGTTATAGCATTTATAAACTTCGCCACAACCCACTCTGAGTCACTGAGTTCTGAAGTAATACAATTTGTCGCAGCAATGTCGGACCTGATATAGATGATGCAACCACCACCTCTACCATTATATCTATCTCCCCTAAACAGAGTATGATTGTCGACAGAGACATCACTATCAGGAGTGTCTGGAGTGCACCAAGCTTCAGTGTTAAATATTAGGCAGGGGTTAGACATAGTCGACAACGTAGTGATCTCACTTATTTTGCTGCCTATGGAACGAGCGTTAATCAGACGGAAAGTTAGAGAATTGGATAAGCAGTAGTACCTAAACTTGTTTTCGGAAAGCATTTTTTCGCAGGTTAGTTGGAACTGTAGTCGTGAGGAAAATGGAGTAGAATTTAATTTCGGGGACATAATATGGGAATAAGATACCACTAGGTTACTAATAATATCCCTTATTGTGTTAGGTGTTGACCCACTATATATGAGCCGGGAGGATGACAGGTTGGCGTAACATCTTCCCCACCACTGTAGCGGTTGTGAGTCGGGATTGAGAGTAGCTGATTCTACAGCGTCGTCATCTGAATAGCAAAAGGCGCTAATAATTTTTGAAGTCCGCGAAAATTCGGGTTTTCAGAATGAGCCCTGGGTATGGGTGTCTGCGGAAATGAGCCAAGTAAGTCTGGGGTTTCACTTCCGCATGGGAAGGAGTGGGGTGCATTACGTTGGGGAGCCAGTATCACAGACTGCATCTACACAGAAGCCCTCTAATTAGGAGGTGATATCGTTGTACTGGGGCGAGCATACATTGGACTTGAATGTTGCGTAGATGGGTGTGAGGAGAAAAACCTATCGTTTCTCCTGTAGCCCTTTTTTTCATGACTATGGGAGGCGTTTGTGTCCTGAACATTCTCGCGCACGTTCCCTTTCTTTTTACCACCTTGGCGTATGAATCCTACCTTTCTGTTGGTCAGTGAGGGTGCCATAATATTTGGTGTCATATAGGTGGACGTCGTGAGTGTATCTGTGTAAGGAAACGGGGTCATTCTTCGAATGGCGTTATATCCATTAGGTTTAACAGTCTGGATATAGTTACTTAGGGGCTGGCCAAAACGTTTCTGTGCCATTGGCTTTGGCGGTACACTCGAACTGGGACTTTAAGGTTTAGGTTTTCGAAACAAAGCACCCTGTGACTGTGTATTGTCAATGCACCTAGAGGTCAACATCGTATTTGAGGGCGGTAAAGGCTTACCAGCGTAACTGCACCCGGAGGATGCAGGTTTTGTCGGTAAACTCAGAGAAACCAAGTGAACATCGGATGTACAATTGCTGTTGCCATCCATATCAACATCATCTGAGAATAAATCTGTATGACTGGCGAAGATTGAACCTTCAGTTTCGGTGTTTACTACCATATTGGATGGTACTTGCGACATTATGTTCAGTCAGCCTTTTTCGATCTACGCTTACAATGTCATCTGATGTGAGGAGCTGACTCCTATGTGCCAGTATGCTTCGGGTGGCCATTGGTCTTGATGAAGTCTCTGGAGGGACTTCATAAGGTTTCGAAACATGTATCCGTCTTTGACATGGGGTAAGATCTGGAAGTACCCTAACATTCTCGCAGCTTCTTAAGAGTCTTACAGATTTCTGTGAACCACAAAGGTGTCTCGCATTAAGGAGTGAGCTAAACTGGAATAATGTTGGACAGGGGTATTTACCAGTCCTCTTCCCAAGACGTCAGGCTGTGCAAACATATTCATGCAAACCACAGGCTTGTGGGAGATCATTTTTAACACGTCTTAATGGGAAACTATCAGGAACATTGAGGACAATGGAGTTGTGCGACGAAGTCAATCGTTTGCTGGCTTCAGTGGCTACAAAGTTCACCAATGTTTCACACATGACAAGGTTATCCACTGATAAGTCCGTTGTAGGGTTGAGTAGGCAAGTCAGAGGTGTAAGACAGTCGAGTTTACGCTACAGTTCAGCAATCGCATCACTGTTGTCAGCAATACCACGCTTGTTCGCAATAACACCGTTATATACGTCAGTCATGACGTCAGACAGATCGACAGAAGGACCGTTAGTAAATAAGCCATTTTCAGACCCTAGCGACGGATTCAAAACTTCTGATCTCTTGGCTTTATGGACTGGTTTGTTCACGGCAGCAATAACGTCACTCATGATAAGGCTACAAGGCACAGACATAAAGGAGCAAAGCTTTATTGTCTGACAATAAAAAGCAAGATTAGAGACTTATCTGCAACACAGACTAAAGTTATCGGTTGTCTGTCAACCTCAGCTTTTACGGTAAACTGGTAGACAAAGCAGCAAGATGCTACAACTTCCCATCAAATAGCGAAGAACACTGAAGTCCAGACCAAAGTTCACGTACTGATGAAAACCAGAGATATGCAACCAATAGTTGTGGAGAAGATGACAGCAACAGTTGGCGGATAACGTATATGTCTAAAAGACTCAATTTACAGGCGAAAAATGTAACTGTATCGTAGCCAGATAGCCAAATCCAAAAGTAAGGGAAAGCGCAAAAGGTTAACTGGCCGGTCGTGAAGAACCAACTGGTAAATCCACCATGACGTACTCTTTGCAGGAACCAAACCTGAGTGTACATATGAAAATCATCTGGGGCGCCACCTTAGGGATAATTTTGGAAGCAGATAAGCGACCACATTTGTAACGCTCTTGGGTTACCAGGCTGATCAAAAAAAAAGTGTAGGAAAAATAAGGGGGTAGGAACAAGCGGCGCAAATCCCGCATGCCGTAAGAATTTCTCAGCTACAAGAGGTCACGCGACTTGTGTGACATAAACGTTCGCGGCAAAGGGTTTGAACACCATAGTAACCTGAATAAAGGGCCAAGTTGCAAGTCAAACAGCCTGTATCATTTTATGTGACAAAAGAAAACGATGAACGAAGGCGTTAAAACTGCTAGGGAACCTAGTGGTGGGGCCCTGAGTGGCATGGTAATGGTGGAAATGTTGAGCAGTGAAGGAAACTTCCAAGAGCACTATGGAGAGTGCCAGCTAAGGAGCTTATTCTCGTGAACTTAACGACAAGAGCTCGCTTCACGTCAACACCAGGGTACCAGGATGAGATGAAAACGGAAGCTTACAAGCCCAGTAAAGACCAGCAATTGGTATTCGATGCAACGGTACGGTAACCTACATGCAAGTTTCTGCGCCAAACTAGGCGTAGAACTTATTCTCATGACGTGCCCCTAGAGAAATGTCAGGGGCCTGGGAAATAAACTGCCGGAATTAAGAACAATATTTTCACTGCTGCATGCTGGGACAATCTTTATTGTGGAAAAGTAGCTCTGGTCATATACCTCGGACCAGGAAATGCCTGTGCCTAGCGTGACCTTGTTGCAAGAGGCCAGGCACTCCAAGGGACAAGTTGTAACCAGACTTATTAGTACACATCTAAGAGTCAGTGGGGCGACTGACAATGTGTTCAGCCAAGTACCAGACTCCTTGTGGTGGCTTTGCATCACAGGTCAATCACAGTGCCCCTTGGAGTGGTATATAGGCCCCCTCACTTCACAAAAGAGCATGAGGACCTATTGATCACGGCAGGTTCGACAGCCTTCCAGGCAGTCTATGACCGTGTAGTCCCCCCTGGAGACGTTGACACACTGGCACTTAACCCAATATCAGAAGTGAGCTGCAAACATAGACCTCAAAAACAAAAACTATAGAGCGATGCAGGTACTCTTGAGAAGACACAGTAAAGGGTGATAATTTTGGTTGTCGGACTATGGGGAAAAACGTGTGCTCACAGCCTTAGATAATTGAGCTTGTTAAAACTAAGCCGTCGGAGGAAAAGAGGTGACCTTATAACAACCTGCAAGAACGTTCACCGAAGAGACATTATTGGTCCGAAGACTACAGGAATTTCACTTGCGCACCTCAATTATAGAGCGAAAATGAGAGTGAGGACCAACTTCTTCTCACACGTAGTGTGTGTCCTATGGAAAGCTGTGCCGATGTAATTAGCCAAAGCTACTACAGCTGACTCTTTCAAACGACTGCTCAAAAAGTACATAAGTGAAAACGGCTTAGTACGCACATTCTCCGGTAGCGATTGAAGGTATGATCATCCGCCTATGTAATCATCAACCGCAATATCTGCAGTAGGGCCTACTTCTTCTCCATATTATTACTAGCATTACTTTTCCATGGGTACTTTTTCCATTCCCCACTAGTTCTATTTCTACAGTACTTTTTAGACAATGCTTAATACTTGCAGGTGCTTACAAAAAAGGGGGTTACAGAGACTCAGTTGATCTTATCAGCAGCCACGTGGCCCCATCAAACAAACCAATCTGTAATTTAAAAGAGAAAACCTTCAAATAGAAAATCACTACCATCACTGAAGGAGTACAACCGCACAAAAAGAAACAGAGCCTCAAGACCCATAAGCAAAGGCTCAAAAACTTAAGGCTTCCTCCACTGGCACTGTTGGTGTTGGATATTGAAGTAGAGTACCTGTTCTTCTGAAGAGCGTTCATTGACTGGAACTCGTCTGCAAAAATAATGGCAGCACCTCCTTCGTTTATTGCAGACAGTGAAATACTGGGCAGTCGCAGAGATAACTAAGGCAAAAATTAACACACGCTAATAGTCTACATTCCTTTTCATTAGAGTCTGACCCCATCGTTGTTTTAGTTGGTGGGACGACCTCCATTTTATCTCTTTGTTTGTAACTGTTATCGTTCGTTTGTCTTTGGTTGTACTGCAATGCCATCGAAGAAGAAGGCACAAGAAACAGTAAGCATTCGGATTTATATTAATCTTATGACGTGCTTTGCATAAAAAGATTTCACATTCCAGCAGTGTTTTGGAGTGTCTATCACTCTGAAGCGTTTCATGAGATTTTTAAGTTTCCATCCGTTATTTTATCGGTTTACTGGTTTTTACTGATTCCTTAACGTCTTTGAAATGGTGTCAGGTCTTTTGATGATAGTTTTGTCTGCTGTCAATCACTGCTACATAGACCTGTCAGTCTGTAAGATCACTGATGCAGTTAACACTAATTCGAGTTATCTTGAAGAGTAGTCACTTATTATGGCGAAGATTATATAGTAGCTAGAGTTCTTGGCCTAATTGATCGCACATCTTGACATACAAAATGGTACATTCCGACGAATGAGTTTTATGAACAAAGTGGATTTTGTCATTGGACAAAATAAGACATGTACGCTTCACCATGATTAGGGTTGGACGAAGATTTGTCACTACAGTAAATACAAGTGTATTTCAGAGGTCACTCTCAAGTTAGTCTTCTGACTAGTCGCCCAACCAGTTGAGCTCTCAGAAGGAACGATATACTCAGGAGAAAAAAAGTGCGTTATCTAAATTTATAAGTCTTCTTGCCTTAAATACGAATGTTTCTAAATTGTATTTGGATATATTGTCCAGAAAACTAAATCAGTGCTAGTGTTTTAGGTTGTATTTTATGTGAAGTAAATCAACTGGTGTAGAAAGTAAACTACAATTAAGTCTCCTGTTCGTGCGTTTTCAGCAAGGGTGTGTACGTATGAGTTTGAATTGCATAGTTTTCAGACTAATCAAGGTTTTGTAGTACCCAGTTTCAAATGTTCCAACTTCAGTTTCTATCAACAAGTTTCATAAATGTTTCCTCCTCAAGTTTCTGAGTGTCTATTAAACCACGGAGAGATGTGATCAACGTGGAGTTGACCATGAAACAAATGGCATCGTTACTTCGAATGAAGTTCTAAACCTATGCCATGCGTTCTCGATTGATAAGTCTTTGTCGACAATGCAGTCCTTACTGATTTCGCAATACTTCATGCTTGAAATGTCTGCACGTAACATTAGTTTTAAGGGAAGCGGTGTCATAACCAAACTTATACGTCCAAAAGCGGAAGGTTAATACTACGCTAACGGAGGGAACTATTACAGATCCATAATATCTTCACATTGGTAGGCTAAAACTATATCTAATAGCGACGACTTGTGTTCAAAACCTCATAGTGTTGCACTAGTTGCTTTTGAACTAAAGCAGATTCTAGTACCGTTGGTAGTGGATCATTTTCGAAAGAGATGCCTGAGGCTAACTGTGAGCTCCGTCCATTTTGTGTGGAGCATTCAGAAACCCAACTATTAGGCATCTATTGCTTCTTCTCCAGTTATGTATATGATTTAGCAAGGAGTCTTGCAAGGCAAACTGAACTGTGATAAATTGCCCCAATAGAACAGATACCTTGCATTGACTTCAGCCCACAAGTAGCCACTTCGCAGGTACTGCATTTGCGTGCTTCTGAAGTGACTGGTCGTGTATAAACATTACCACCTGTGCGACCAACAACCCTATTTGTCCTTACACAGTAATACCCTGTAAGAAGTGGCGTAAAATCTATCCTTTAATAGCCAGGTTTCAGTAAGGACCACTACATCAGGACCTGGTTCACAGTATAGAGTCTCAAGGTCTGCCAGTTTATTTCTGATGCTACGAATATTGGCGTAGATTACATTCATCGTTTGAAGAGTCCCATGACCTACCCATACAAACCTTGGAGGCATTCGTTTCTAGGACCTCAAAACTCCTTAACCCACGATTCTAAGATTGTTTTCTTCATTAATTTGTCGAACCTTAAGTCCAGCGATAGCTTTTCTTCCTATACAGTCCTCGTGAGACCAGTCTCGTTGGATACAGATGTCCGAACTTCCTTGTTTGGATGAGTTGCTCATGAATAAGTCCATTTCTTCCTTGTTAGCTAAAACAACCTTTAAAGTCTCTCATCGAGTTTGTCATCCTATTTCTTCCCTAACCTGACTACTTTGGATATGTGTACTCCTTTAGATGTTCCAGGTAAGATATGTCTGATAGCCCACTCGACCAGTTTCAGATCATGGAGGGTCTTTGTCCGTTAACTCCTCAACATTCCAGATCACGTTGGCGGGAAGTCCTTAGATCGCTTGTTGACCTTCGGAACTTGACGGGTTTCATAAGCTTAGTAGCTTCGGTATTACCTTTGTAGGTTTCTTCAAATGTTTTCTTGGTGAAATCCATTCAAATTCGTGGATAACTTCCGTAGCATCAACGCTGCTAACAGAGACGCTGTCTTTCGGTGAATCTCTGAGCCCCATATCTGGTGTACCAGTCACCCTCAGTTCCCTTTTACGTCGATTACACATCAGAACTGGTGTAACTTCACCGATTAGATTACTAGTATGCAACGATCCATCCTTACGTCTCGTGTCAGATATATTAGCAATAACACTTTGTGTCATAGTCTGATACCGCACTAAAGTGACAGATGTCATTACATGAGTGTTTTTTAACCAGTAACATTTCTACGGCTTCCTGAATTAGTACTGACAAAGGATTACAAGGCGAAGCTGTTTTACCGCAACGCTTTTACATAGTTGGTGTCAATTCAGTTCAAACTTTGTGAAACCAACGTTAACGTGCATCACATTGCATACCTTCATCGTCCATGTCTTGATTGCTTTTTCTTTCTTCACCTATCTTATTGCCTTGTTACTTGATGTTCCGATATGAGGTGTGGCAACTTGGAGCGTTACACGTTATTGCCTGGTCCTATATTCATTCGATGATGATTGAGTCATTCCAAAGTGGGAAACAGCAGATGCCTTTCAACAAAATGTAATGAAAGCTGTTTCAAGAGTTATGAAGTACTTTGGCTGTGCACTTATTCTGTATTTCAAATAAATATTGTCGGTGCTTTGCTTTTTTAGCCACTTTTAGTGAAGCTTTGACTGGTAGACCTAAACACGACCTCAGTGTAATGAGCTCAAGGACCAAATCCCGCCCCACTTAATTCGGTTAAGACAACCTGGTTTTGTTGTAACTCCTCACAACATGTGGCTTAGCCTGCTTTATAAACATGTACCGGGTTGCATCACTCCCTTAACAGTGGCGTTGAATACTGTAACCGATTCTCAAAAAGGTTAGAAATTGTTATTAGTTCTCAGCTGCTTCATGATTAATAGATGCACGTGAATCCATTTCTCCAGGTTTCAAGCACAAACAAGAGCGGAGTCAACTCATTTGTAGAAAGTCTGAAGAGGTGGAAAAAGCAGTGGAGATATGTGACAGTAGACAGCTGTTTAGACATTAAGGAAACAGGCAAAAATATATATGGCTAGTAAAAGTATACCACAGAATGATGGCGCTGTGATTTACTCGCAGATAAGAAGACTGAAACAATGAGCATAATACTTCAAAAAACAGTTTCGCTGACCTCCAGCTCCTCTTCAAATGCCCGTTTCCCAGTCAGATCATAAATAAAAAAACACTAAGACAAGCCCTTTAACTCTTGTAGAAGTTAAAAATGCTGTAAGTGGCCTAAAACGTGAAAGGGTAGCGCGGTCGGATATGTCTGTACCAGAGGTATTTTAGGACCATGACCGAGGATAATCGGTTAGATAAGATGAATTGTTAGGTGGCGTACAGGAATCAGAAATGATCCCCTCTGAAGTCTGTCACTGATTGCTCCAATCTTCAGAAAAGGCGAGAAGTCCCCTTGTGATATAATCACAAGGGAATCAATCTGATGGACAGTATCTAAAATCCTGTTTTTTTAATCCATCGGGTTTTAAGTAAAGCTCAGAAACAGAAGAACCAGGCGGGTTTCAGAGTAGTCATGGCTATATCAACAACGTATTCACCCTCTGCCAGGTTGTAGAACTCAGATACACTTACTGGTGCCCGATACTAGCTGTTTTTCTTGACCTGAGGGTGGTATTCAACTCCATTAACTTTGAGGCATTGTAACTGTCACTATAAGTGGGTGCTATTAGTTACACTCTATTTGAACATATGTCGGCGTTCTAAAGTTTATGTTTTAGACGGGTGTCTATAGCACTTCTCATTGAGGGCCTAAACTGTTCAATGCAACGAATAAGCAAAAATAAAAGCTGAGATGAAACTAAAACCTTGTGATTCAGAGTAGTTTTTATAGGATATCTGATCTCTTCTTGACAACAGAAACTCGTATTTGAGTTGTTACCCTGAGTTTTCTGTTCTGGTAGGCAGTAAAGCGGAAGTTCGACTTAGTTTTAGACTGAATAGCCAAGTCAGTTGGTGAGGTTATGAACCCTCACTGACTTTGGTGGCTACGACACATGTTACGCGTGCCTACTTACCATCTACCCTATTGTGCAATGTTAACTCGAGCTGGTTCAGATTGAGGAAAGGTTAGAGAAGGCAAAGTTTATACATCGCATAAGTGCATGAAGTCTCTGAATGTTGATCTGAGCCGTGTGGAGGAGTGGGAACATCCTGATCGGAGTTGGTGGGACAGTCGAAATCGGTGCTTAGAGTTTAGATGTTTTGCGAAATCGATCTCAGTGGCACAGTTGCATCTACACATCTTCATCTTAATCATCATATCACATTCCACTATTGTTTCATTCCTTTTCGTTCTCTTTTTCGACTTTCAGCCATTTATGACTACTCACTGATTTAGGCAGCCATTGAGTCGTGGGTTGGATAACGAGGTGTGGGCGACCAAGCAGTATTATTAACCCTCACATGATAGCTGTTGCTCACTGCCTGGTGCGCAAACGCGCTCATGGTTGCTGAGAGCATTTGATCATTTTTCTATCCCTTATTTCTCTACCTTTCGTCTTAGTGTCTTGATGCGCCGCCGATATTAGGCGTGGCAACATAAACTGTTACGCGAAAATTCCGTGTCCCATTTTTATGTGAACCGACTGGCTGAATCAGTTAGTTACTGTCGCTAGTTCTCATAGTGGTTGTGACGCACAGTGTGGAACGCAAACTTCCACATGGTTACTGAATAATGTGCAGTGGTTTCAGACTTTCTTTGAGACAACTGCTCAAAACATTCAACAACCGTACCTTGAGTTCTGTAACTTCACTGTCTTTGTGAGTAGTTCGCATTTTCGTCAATTTGATGTTTTTTCGTATGTTCATACAGGTAGCACGAGGTCGAAGCAAGTCTGTTGGTCGAAATACATCGAAAGGTCGTTCACACACGCCAGCGTCTCCACGATCCCGGTCGAGAACACCTACAAGACGGGCACGAACGCCTGCTTCAGAATCGAAAGTTAGACGGAGGCGCTCTCCTAGCACTGAGCCCAGCGAGGAGTCTAGCAGAAGTTCCACTAAACTAACAAAGCGCATTGAGGCTTTAGTTGACCGTCCTGTTCAAACTGCTCCATCGAAACCAAACATTAACAACTCCGGATTGTCGCGTTTTTCTCAAGGAATTATCAAGAAGATAGAGTTGGAACAACTAACTCACTTTCATCCAGAAGGGTAAGTATTGTCGTTGCCTGTGTTGCAACTGCATTTATTAAATATCGCTTAAACTTGTAGTCCGAGTAATTAATTCCCCTTAAACATTTTACAGTGAGAATAAGGTTTATCAACGATACATTCATCATATCAGTGCCAGATATTTAGTTAGTATGTCGGTATGATTCCCTAGGATAGGGCTTTAGTACATTGGATTTTGACTAGTCATGCTCTTATTCTTTGGAGGTGCAAAGATCTGTGGTTGATGTGGTCGTTATAGATTTGAAAATCTGCTATCGTGTTTGTTCGGAAGTGATTACAGTCTTTAACGAACGCACTGTTCTTTATATCATTATCTTTCTTTCAATGATAGTCATAGCTTTAAATCAATTTCCATTGTTTCATCTACCTTTTACGTGTAATTGATGCCTATAGGTATGTTCAAAAGCGAGAAATCATTCAATCTCAGAGGTCGCTGCCTTTAACTCCACACCTAACAAATTATCGGAAGACCTTCTTCAGCCCAACTGTTGTTGGAACCATCCAGCTCATCTTCATTGTACCATTCGTATATTGGCTAAATCTGCTCGTTTTTGTACCAGTTTCAGTGGGTGATTATTCTGACGAAGTCAAGAGCTTATGGGGACCTGCTTATCCGCTGCTTGGTGTTTTATGGCCAATTGACTGGTGTGTTTATATCAATGTTCAAAGTTTTGGATTCGTTTTTATTTATCTTTTATTGCACTTCTTGATTGCCCGTTTTCTACCACTTGGTGTGCGCGCAAGTACAGGCTTTCGAAATACTGACTACTATTGCAACGGTAAGTTAACTTTGTTTTGGTGCAAGAGCTGGTTTTTACTAGATGTAAATATTTGATTGTTGTTGAAAACCGGAGCGGCATACACTAGCATGTTTCAGATTTGTCGCCACTGGGATTCGTTCTTGGTTACAAAAGGTTTGGTGTGCAACGTATCCCTGTGAGCAGTTCTGCTATACGCCTGTAGAATCTGGATTATTCAAACAGTCTTTTCCAGAGGATTATTCTTATCCTGTAGAGTCAACTTACAGTAATCCTGAGGTTCAGGAGTACGTGTTTGAAAATGTGCTATTTCCGTAATGTCGAGTTATTCGGTATTATAATTGGAATCCGTATTAGTTAGGAATAGAATTCTTAAACTTGCAAATAAGGACAAGAATATTAATTATAATCTGTATACTGACACAACCCAGTAATTTCAGCCATTTGCAAAGAGCTCGATCAACATTCAAGTAGTAATAAATACCTGTATCTACAGTATAGAATGGAAGTTATCAATGTGGTTGTTATTACACGCACAAGAGTATTTTACATGAAATTAATTTGACCTCCAGACAAAATGACCTAATTAAACTCAATAACTTGGTATGTCTATCACAGAAATTGCTACTCATTAGGCAGTCATCCCTAGACATCGACTTCAGTGATTTGGATATTTGTTGCGAATGTTAGTTATTTCAGGTTGACTTCTGTTGGTTCTCCAATACTCTCTAAAAAAGGTTCGAGTGATCATGCATATCAATATCTCAAAACTTTTTTGGATACGGTTTAGTCGAAACCAATGGTGATCATTTTCCCCTTGTTTGTGAAAAGTGAAACTAGTAATGAACGCTTCATGAAACATATCTTATAGGACTGACTGTTTGGTCACTTTTGCTTTTGTTTGTTGTCCTATATTTTCGTTTTCACCTGTCTTGCTATTTCATTTTTGTGGCTCATGTCTTGGTGCCTGTTGTTGTACCGAGTTTGCGTTCGAAATACACAAAAAACGTTATGATTTCTTTGACACACCAAACGACCAAAAATTACAGTTTGTTCGGATATAAAATATTGCTAACAGCTTATCGTTTTGAATAAAATTCATCCCGTGGTTTGCCCTTAAGTTGACTGATAATTTTCTGAGTAGTGAATGTATCCATCGGAAGTGAATCGAGTGCTACTTTACACTTTTATTTTCAGTGACTGACTGACAGTAAATATTTATATCGAAAAAATAACAGTAATTGTGGGACGTTCCTTCCTACCACTTTCATTTGTGGATAGTGCTGATAGAGATGTTAAGTGGTTAAACGCGTTGAAATACAGGCCAGTATGTGTGCTACTCACAGCCTTACATTTACTTCCTATTTTACTTTGAGAAGTTTAGTAGCATAATACTGTTCCACACAACAGGAGGCCTTTGACCGTAAAGGTTGCTTGGAGAAGCGGGCTACAAGGTGTGACGTTGAGCAATTTGGTAGATTAAAAGCTTTTTTAAGTTAATCGTAGTTACTTAATTGCTTTATTGACCTACGGGCGGTGAAATTAAATGCATATATTCGATGCAGACAGTGGCCCTACAACAATATTTTCTACATAAACGTATTGTTATCCGGGTATACTGTAATACAACTGCGATTTAAATAACAAGAAACTGCGTTGTGCACATCAAATTTGGTTGTTGGAGTTTTTCTTTGGTGTACATATACCAAAAGAAGTGTAATACTATTTAGTTATCTATAGTGTAAAGTAAACTTATTCAATTGAAGTCATTTCTCGATGATTTTAAAGTTTTAATGATTCTTTCATAATGAGCAAAGCATTGGATTTATTTTTCTTGAGCCACATGCTACTCCTCCCTTTAAGTGTGTGAAGACTGAAAGGAATGTATGACGAATCCTGAGTTCAAGAGTTTCAGCCTATGATTTTTTGTATGGAAATTGTTCACAAATTGAATCCCTTAACGATGAAATGCCAAGTACTTTCGTCTGAATGTTTAAAAGCCTTGAATAAGATGCCTTGTACACCGCCTTTCGGTTTTTTTTGCGTGTTGTGAGAGGTTTAATCTCGTATTTATCCATCTTATACTGTAGGCTTGATATCCTTTGTCATTTTCGTTGGATTGTATTGTTTTGCGCAACTGTCCGAATATTCTACGACCAGAAATTTCAAACCAAGTACAATGCTTCCAAATCTCTGGCTTAGTCTACTTACTTCAGCGTGTGTGGCTTCTTTTGTAATATCGCTGATGGCCTTTTTTGCTTCACGAACGGTCGTGCGTCATACGAGACAATCGGCAGCTAAACCAAGTAAGCAGATAAGATTTTTGTATGTTGTCTTATTTCAAGCAACTAGACCAGACAGCGGAGGTCATGCATTTTTATTAGTCCGACCTAAATATTTGCAAATGCATTATCCAGTTTTGCTTATATTTATTCACTTACTTCAGGATAAATATGAGTTGTCAGTTAATGGGTGATGGAAATTCAGCAAACTTAATTCATTTCAGAGTGGATAGACGTAGTTTAAGACAAGAGAAATAAATTTCAGCAGTGAAAAGGTGTGTATAAATTATCATGTAAATTCAGTAAGAAATAAATCATAACTTGCTCTTAAATGTTTGTCTTGTAAGAATTATTTTGGTCTCTGATGCATTAAACAAAATGTCTTTCTTGCTGAGTATATTTCGTGCACATAGATTAAAATACACCTTTCGAATTACCTATCAACTAAGTGAATGTATTTGATGCCTGGACTCAGATGTTTATCCACTCTTTGCATTCTTTAGGTAATGTGTTCGTCGATTTGTGGTACGGTCGATACTCAAGACCTCAGTGGTTTGGTATAGATTGGAAAATGATCATAATACGCTCGGGATTAACAGCATTACCTCTAATAGACATGGTTTATATTTTCGGACAATATGATAAGTATGAGCGTATTAGTCCAGCTCTTGCTGCTCACGCATTAATGCATGCCTTATGGGTGCTTGATTTTTTCATCTTTGAGGTACGTTTTAGTGACAAATTATTTTCGTAACCGTATTTCTTGTACTTTCTTTTTTGTTTTGACCAATTAGTGCTGTAGATAAAAATGATTTTTCCACTGTTATTACGTGTTTTGCTTCAGTATAACATGTCTTTCCTTCTGAATCCCAGGATGCCTTCGCACACACTTATGAAGCTCAATCCGTGACATTTGGTTCAAGTTTTGTTGTCGGTCAACTTGTTGCTTTACCATTTACGTATTCCATAACAAGTTCATTTTTGTCATCGAGACCTGATGTGGGCAGGCTACCCTCAAGTCCTTCAAAACGTAGCTGTAATCCGTACACAACTGGCATATCTGTTATTGCGTTTCTAATGGGACTATGGATACACCGGGGATCTAACAACCAGAAAGACAGGTTCCGACGTGATCCCAACCACCCATCTTTCAGTAGTAAGTTTATCTTAAAACGTGTTAGTAATGAGTTTAAAGCACGGCTTTTTAGTGCATAGTTTTGCGGTTCTTATCCTGTTTTCAAAATATCAGTGCTCATGGAATTGAAAATTTTTATTTTACAGTAATCGTAAGCATTGTGTTAAAAGTTTTCAGTACTACAAGATATCTGTGACCTATTTCGTATGCGAATTACTGTCCAGTCAATGTCTAATCTCATTCTGGAATAGCCATTAAACATAAAGGTGTTAACCATGTGACCAATACTGTTATCCTCTGTGAAAGTATCATGTAGGCAATATGGTATAGTTGGGCGTGATGTACTGGGTGAATCATTGAGTTGAAGTTTTAGAAATCCGTCGACATGTTGGCGCGTCTAACCCATTTCAACAGAGGTACAGAAAAAGGGGATTATACCATAACGTAGCACCAGTCTAGAACCGTGAGTCATTTGAACAACTTGGAATCCTCTGGACACTTAACCGACAACTGCTACATTGACGCGGTGTGGGTTCTCTTTATCCGGTGTTTGAACAACCCACACAGTCAGTCCTTTGGATAACCGAAATCGGCGACAGTAATCCAGTCGTTGATCACGTTTGTTTTGACGAACTACACAGTTTTTATCGGTGATTTAAGAACTTACTAGCCTGTTAAAATATGTCTTAGGAATAACAAATCCTTCAAAATGATCAACCATACAGCGATTGTATTTATTATCATTTCATGTCCCACGTGTTTTTCGCAAACGAATATCTTTTAATGCAGATGTGGGTAGGAAATTGACTAGGTTTGTCTCGTTATCCAATCATTAAGGTGTGGGTAGAAGCCAATCCAACACATGTCTGACGAGTCATGTAGGTTTCGGGGGCGCATGTATGTAGTTCATGGTGCACAATACATTTACTGAACCGGACTAACTGGAAGATTGGTGAAATAGTTGCTAATAAAATGAGCAAGGTCTTTCGCACTCGGGTTAACTTTTCTTCTCCTGAGCATGTACTGAACTCTTTTGTGTATTTCAATCTTGTAGATGCTGAGATTGTTGCTGGTCCCGGTACCCAGCGACTTTTGGCTGGAGGTTGGTGGGGTCGTGTCCGACATCCTAATTATGTGGGGTATGCAATTATGGCCTTGGCAATGGCAATCCCATGTGGTAAGTTACCTTATGACGATTAGTTTCCTTGCTTTACAACTTCATCACTACTTCGCTCAAAATTGTTTATGCTGGCAAATTATGTATGACACAAAAATTATGAGCACGTGGTTTCGACTCAAGTTTAAGTTTACATCGCGATACCACTTTTCCTAGCATAGCATCAGGCGGTTATGTTAACCTTACCTTTCTTGCTAAGTTGATACTCCTTGTTAAACTAAGTGAAACTGGTTCAGTTATTAGGCTATAGCCTCAATTTATGCTGACTGAAACTATACTCTTGTTTTATTGTAGGATTCGACTCTCCGATCCCGTGGCTTGTCCCGATTTTTGTAGTTTTCTTCCTTCTGCATCGTGCACTGGTCGTCGAGGAGGCTTGTCTGAGAAAACACGGTCCTGCTTGGCAAAAATATATGGCATTGGTGCCATATCGTTTTATTCCTAAAATTTTGTAACGGATAATTATCTTAATATTAATTATTATTACTAATATTTATTTGCATTTATATGTCAGTGTACTTGATATTTTTGCTCAACTGCTAATTCTTAATATCCTTAATGTCTACAGATAATTTGTCTTATTTAAATTAGGATTTTCCCAATTGGCAGCATTTTGTGCACAAAAACCTTTTGTTAAATTTCTAGGTGTATATATTGTATTACTTAGTCGTGTTTTGTTTTTAATAAATGAGTGTTTTATACATTTTCCTTCTTATCAATGACCCTTCAGGAAAATGAAAAACAAAACTAGTGTTCTGTAAAATTTATTAAGACTAAGAACAGATGTCGAGTAGCTCCGAGAATGTTATGTAAACTTCTGAGGTCTGAAATCAGTATTAATCCTACTAATCATTTCTCGATTGGTTTGTAAAATAGAGTAGATACAAACTTCTGTCGGAAGCGAGTTATAACACTAAGGACGACAACACCATCCTAAGGAAAATGCAAAAGGGGGAGGGAGGGGTTTACTTTGGAGTAACATTGGTAAAGCTTGTTATTGACGAAATATACCCATTTATTCATTAACAAGAACAAGGCATGTCTCAGCGAAATATTCCTTTTCAACGACTTCACTATCGAGTTGTGCAGTCGTATTTATACTCGGTAAAGTGATATAATTGCACTAAAAAGTTGCTCAGTCAATATGCAAAATATACAATCGGTGTAAGTGGTGGTATTTGTATATTATGACTGAGCAACTTTTTAGCGCAATTATCTGTCACTTTACTGAGTATAAATACGACTGTACAGCTTGATAATGAAGTCGTTGAAAAGAAATATTTCTTCGCTGATACAAAACTTGTTATTGCCTAAGAGGAACCGAGAAATGTGAAATATTAGTCTATCCGTTCAAGTAACTGGGAAAGTGGTCAACTTTTACCTTATATTAGGCACTTACTGAAATCCTCGACATCCATTTGCAGGAGTAAGATACATAAGCTCTTATGCTACTATTTAGCCTTACAAACCTTGATAGGTGGGAGAGAGTTCAAGACTATGACTCACAGTTTGGCAGTCGATGTGTCAAGAAATGTAAAATTCTATCATACATTGGTGTAATAGGTGTTAGAAATTGATGTTCCCATTTAATAATTCGTATGAATAGGTCGATGTCGAGAGAATTCAGCTCCGATGCCAAGAAGTAGATAGCAAGTAAGACTTATGTGAAGCTATCAGACAAATGTACTGCTTTTTACGAAAAGGTTGTGGATAATATGAAGTTCAGTGCACCTTATCCGGAAATTTGTATATCGAAGTCGTGTCTGTACATACCTCGGCTTTATCAGAATACGCCAATACCAATTCAAACTTCAATGTTACGTTTGCTTGCCAATATTTCCAGGAGAATAATTTTTATACTCTTACCAGAAAACCTGTTTACTCACCTTTATTGAAAGAGCGTAAAGATGGTTGACGATTACGTGATTTGGTTGAGGAAGGAGACTGGGATCGCAATGAGCGTTGGTATCCACATTCAGTATTCCCTGAAGTAGAGAAATTCATAAATATCACTGAAAGTTTAAGTATACGCATTTGATAAAACCAAGTCAAGTTGACAACGAGTAGGACTTAGTCATATGGCAATATTGCCCTTACACATCCTGTTGCCTTAGCCTAGAGCTCATATTCTCTCTTAGCGTTCATATTGCATATTTTGGTTCAATCCTGGCTTTTGAGTGTATCTTAAAGTTGACGGTGTCAGCACTTGTTTGAGTACACAATGAACTGGCGTGATTTACTCAGGGACTGTCACAATTTGATGGTGATGAACGACGAGAACGTTGGTCCGAAAATGCAACCGTTCAAAATGTCATAACTTCAAAATATTAGAGAAATAAACAGTAACGAAGGCAGTGTAAAAGAGAATGACTAGTAACGGTTAGTAAGTCATTCCACCTTGTATGATGTAGGGGTAGGTGCGAGTGCACCATTTTCCCGCCAACTGTTTTCTAATATCATCAAAATTGTCTACGTGATGCAAAGAAGAAATCCACCTCCTACTGTTGTCTTAGACGAAATAAGTTGGCGTTTAGAAACTAGCCCACTTGACGCTGCAAAGGTCAGGTGGCTACTAACATCTTTGATTGTAGGTTATTGTTCCCAAAGCATGTCGGAGTGCGCCAATTTCTTCAAATTGAAAACTAAGGAGCTTACGAACGCTCGATTCGACACGGATATGTTCTCAGACGCATGATAATCTAGCCAATCACTACAGAGCTTGCCGTAATATTTCAGTAACAGTAGTATAATTTGAATTCATTCATCATCAGCTTGATGTTGAGGGCCAGTAACAAGACAACAAACCCCTATTGCTTGAGGTTGGTACTAGCAAGGAATAAATTGTCAGACAAGTTGCAAAGGACAGTGATTTATCAACTGGTCAGTAGAGGGTTCCGAAAATGATGCCAACATATTTCACATTGATTCAGTTCCCCAACTTTGAAATTAAAGGCGCTCGCCTATCTGGGCTGCGACTGTCATAACGAACCGAAGAAATATAGAAAAGGAATCTCATAAGCACCGCCATATAACATTAAAATATTTTGTCTAAGCCATTATTATTCTATAACTCGATCCAAGAACCGCTTATTGATTCACTCAATTCAGTAAGATTAACGTCCGTAAAATGATTGCGTCGTGAATGAAATCGATTACCGTGCATTATCTCAGTTTCCGTATATGAAACCAATTATTCATATATTACCTCGATTTTGAAAATACAAGAATAATAGGCCGTTTTTCTTTGTCTCTTTATCATACAGAGAAAGAAATGGTGATAGGTAAAGGGTTGCAAGTATCTCGTGTCGCTTTCAATTCATTTGGTCACCGATAAGTGTAGCTAAAGCATAGACAGATACAAAGATATCCAGACAGAGAAGTGTGCGGAATAACGTGACAGTATCAAAGTTATATATTTTGCAATTATTAGTTTAAACACGTAGTATCAAGACACATGAGTTTGGTTGACGTTACAGTAGTGAAATCTGAAATTGATAAGCGATTTCTGGTCAAATTAATCTGAAGCGGAATCAGTAGACGCACAGTCAGGATCCACTAATAAACCGAGGTGTTTCCTGAATCTACGCAAAACCATTTCAATGATTAGAATCAAGTCAAGTATGCATCCTACACTAGAAATAAGTGCTATCCTTGCATCTATGAGAACTAGTTTTCATTATCCCAATGACGTAAAATCTTGCGGTTTCATGGCGCAAGGTTGTTGGGGCAGAGTGAATAACTAAACATGAATCTCGTTTGAGATATGAAGATTGACATCTGAAACGATTCCTCAACAGACAGACAAAACCAAAGTGGGGCCTGGCATTACTCTTTACCACATCACGCCTCATATCGGCACTTCAAGTGAGGATGCACTAAGACGAAAGATGGAGAAGAAAACACGCAAAAGTCACGAAAAGAGAGGAAGGTGGAACAAGTGAATACTGTAACTCAATAGTATGATAAAGATATTTTGTGGATACATCTGCTCCAGATATCGATTCTGAGTCATATCACCGTTAACTGCTACTATTGATTGTAGCTTTCAGTTCGGCAGACTAGAAACTCACATAATAAGAGTTGCGAATTCCCGCCATTTTATTGACAATGAAGGTTACAACTTTCTGAAAACTTCTTGTGTGTGATGAAATCATATAGTGAGTAATGTTACGGTTAGACGCAGAGTACTGGGTAAGAAAGACAAATCAATCGGAGTGATTATGAATCGTTACTGGCTGAAGCAACGTAGACACACGTTACACATCCTGAGTTATGGGTCATGTTGACGATCAACATTCGCTGTTAGTAGGATTAAGTTGTACGAAAGTAAAGGGTGGCTGAATTTGATCTGACACCATTCCATGAAGTCTGAATGTTTGTCTACGTTGTGCATATAGATGTAGACTATGCTACTGAGGTCCTTTACATAGTGGAGACTGATAGTTGTAGAACCTTGGTGATATACTTCAAAAGATATCACAATGGTACAGACATATTCACTCTTAGTAAGCTTCAAGATTTTGAACACTTCACTGACCCTTATTTAATTATTACAGTTTCTTTCATACCTATTTTTATTTGCTTTAATGTGATTCTTTTTATGTGCCCAAGCGAATTGGGAAAACTCGGGCCGGTGCATTTTTGTATGAGGTTCTTCGTTGTCTGATTAGCAAAGGTTGCCTGTTAACTTCATTGGTGGAGTTTTCAAAGATAAAAGAAAGAATTTCCTTAACCGATCTATCTCAGTTGACTATGAGCATACTTTTGATAGTGTGGCTGTTGTGATTGCCTCGATCCATCCTAATGAACTTACTGAGAGTAGAACAAAACAACTACATGACATCATAACAAAATCTAAGTAACATTCAAAATTACCTGTAACAAATGTGGTGGGAGCAAGGGTGGTTGAGTTACTGTACCAAGACCTGGAGCAACTGGTTGATGATGATCATCTTTAAACTTTGATCGCTGTTGTAATTCAGTCAAATTGGCAGGCATAAAACGACCGTATTCTCCTGGTGGTGAATGACCAAGACGATCCACCTAATTCGGTAAAGCATAAGAACACATAAATCATGTTTTTGGCAACACAGACTATTGGTTAAGTGAAGTAACTACTAGCTAGTACTGTTGGCTATTAGTTTATTGTAATCTCACATATCTTAGGACTAGATAGGGTTAGCTTTTACTATGTGAAATTCTTATATCTAGAGGTGTGACTATCCGAGAAGTTATACTAATAAGAGACGGAGATGGAATAAAAGTGATGGCTGAACTAAGGTGCAGAGACGGTAATGCTTTTTTTATTTTACGAACGATCAAACACTTCAAACAAGCTTTTTCAGTTGGGAAAACCTAGATAAGAATAATTTCAAACAATTCACTCTAATTCTTTATCGTACTGAAAAAACGTTGATGCTCAGCAGGAGATAAAACTTCTTTCACAGTGGTGTTTTGGTGTTCTCTGAACTTTGATACTTTGTCGTGAACTTCTCATCACATGACTCGATGATATCATCAGTAGTTATCACGTTACAAAGTGAAATATATTCAAATGCTACCCGGGTGTTTAAGTTTTTTTGTTACTGATCTTGAGAGTTAATCAATTGTAAGTTGGTGGAATGATTTTTATCGTACATTGACCTCTTTGACATTACGTTTCATACCGTTACGCTACTAAAGTTTTCGTTAAAGTGAAATTGTGCTACTTGTTACTGTTACACTGTGCTGCATTAATGATTTTACTTGAGCGATGGTTGGTGAATAATTTCTTTTTAGGTGGGTCTGGTCAAGAAACACGTTTATTGATTAGCTTTTCATTGGATTGCCATACTTCTAGAAATTCTATCACAACTTTCAAACCTGCACTATAGAGAATTTCAACATTCTCCCAGTGATAGCCTCCACGCATTGAAACCAGCGAAAGTTGCGTCATATCGCTTTACTGCCGGTTAGTGTTCATGAGTTTTTTGAGTAATTCAAAGGCTAAGCTGGCCAAAGTAGTGGGGTGAACAATCCTTGCAGTTGGTTTTGTAAAGATATTCGGCCTGTCTTCCTTTGGCTTGCAAAGCAAGTTCTGCAGCGATTTCTTTGGCTTTTGTGTCAGTCCAGCTCCGAAAAGACGATAGTTTCTGATACATCCTTCATGTAGATAAGAACTAAGGGTTAGTTGATTTGAGGTAATTGCACTGTCCTCTATTCCGCTGGTAAACATCTATTGATAGAGTTGAAAAGAAAATCATTGACTTTGAACACTTTGTACAGGCATTTTACTTCCACTTTCTACAATGCTTCAGTGCTGCGATGTATATTTTGGCTCTGGAGAGTAGAGATCGAACACAATATTTCTCATAGATTCGATTCATTGCTATTTTAATTCAAAGCGTGATCAGTGTATGTAGTTTTCTAGCACACTCGAGTTTGGTGAGTCTTGGTGTATATTCTGCTGATGTGGACATCTGGAGACGAAACTTTGCTGTTAGTTTTTTTCTCCTTTGTGAAATGAATTCCTTCAAATGTATGGTTGGTCAGTTTCAACGTGTTTTTTATTTTATTCTCCTTGAAAATTACGAACGTACCGAATCCGAATTTTTGATTTGAAAAGAGGGATGACTATTGATTCTAGGCGCTGCGTCACTGCTTTAGCAATTAGTCCTGATATTGGAGGTCCCATAGGCGTCTCTTTTGTTTGTTTTTAAATCTTTCTGTTGAACCATAAGTAGGTCGTGAGACATAGAAAAACCAACTATACCAGGTTTGGAACAATGAATTTTGCACAAGTCTACAAAATTTTCGTCATTCTTCAGCAGAATATCTATCGTCTCTTTGTCTAGACTTGGGTCAACAAAAGTGAAGAGTGCAGTAACACCAAAGGATACTATATTTTCATTGCCGTCTACTGTTAAATCTTTTATTTTATCCAGAAATTCAATTTCATATTAGATTGTTCATTTCCGATAGCACATAGTGAAACAGTATTATTTACTGGATGGCGTTTCCAGTGGGATTTATTACCGAAGAAATAACTAACCTCGGACATACGTAGACAAATAGAATATGTAAAGTGGTCACTAGACTATGACTGATGAAGCTTTAAAGTTCTGAGTAGTGATCAAAGTTCATCCATAAAGTATCGAATGTAACTATTAAGCTGAGTGAGGTGACACTCTGGTGTACTGTAATTGGTCTAGTCGATAGAAACAACCAATCCTAATTTTTGTGATTTTGATTGCTTATCAGCATAGTGTATCTGTGACTTCAGGAAACCCATGTTACCTCGAAGATTCCAACTCGCATCAACTATTACTGAAGTCATAAGCATACGGAGAATAACATGTATGAAAACGTTACGTAACTGGTTTTCAAGACAACGTGATTAGCGATATGCATTTCACTAATAATGCACATAATACCACATGATATGAAAGTTCATTACAGTTCACATGAAGTACATTTTTTAAAATTCAACAGAGTTCAAACCTATGATTTATACCCTCATCCAAACTAGTAAAACAATGAAATTCATAGAAGTCACGCCTAATGTATCAAAAATATACACCCTTTGTAGTTTTCATTGTTTTAAAACGTCAAAATTTGATCATCCGAGCATTAATAAAACAGAGTAAAGAAAGTCATATGGATGACATAATGATCTTACATGAAGGGACTAACAACTACAAATTAGGTTCAACAGTTTCAATGACAAAGCAAGAATTTATAGAATGCGTTTCATCTCCTAAGTGTAAAATGATATTTTCCATCCAATATGTATCAGTGCTCTGTTCATAAATAGAGAGCGAAATAGTGACTACTTCATCTCTGTGGAAAGTTGTATGAGCCTAGGTGGGTTTGCGACTGATGATATCTCAGCACAAAAGTAAAGGATTCGTATGGCTTTTGGCAAATAGCAGCATATATGCAACACTAAGCTCTGTGTTACTGTACGGCTGTGAAACATGGCGTTTGAAAGCTAAAGATTTTCGAAAGCTTCAGGTATTCCATAGACGAGCACTCCTGGATCACTGCATCTCATCAGACCCCATATGGGGTAAGTAGTGCTTTGAACAGTAGTAACGTGGTGAGGTTCCTAGTTAGAGAAATTAGTGATGTGGGTTCGGATCAAGGTAGCATTCAAATCTTATTAATAAAAGGCAACAGTGATGAAGCCTAGATCCAGAGCGTTCTAGCAATTGGTTTAAAACACGTAAAATCCGATCATTATTGCCTTTATGGCAGAACTAGTGTACGACAGGATCCTCGAGTAAGCAATAATTATGTTAGGTGTGAAGTCTAAGATAAGGAGTATAACTGAAATCGAAATGAGATGGAAGGTGTCTTAGAAAAAAAACAAGATGTGATTTATTTAGTCTCTGACTATTAGCATCAGACTTGTATGAAGTTATAAACAAGATCATTGAAATAGAGTCTAGTGACGAAGATAGATGTACTCTAGATCTTTTTTGCTGACTTTAAATACATTATCATCCTCTCTCTGTCTCTTTTAATTATGTCTGCTTTCCTGTATTTCTTATGTTTTGTCTTTCTTTTCTGTGCGTTGCTATAGCGCTTAGCAACTTTCACTGATACATAATTATCGGCTCCTAGGTTTATTATTATTGTTATCTGTTTATAAAAACTCACTGAACGAAATGTGAGTGAAAAAAGAAGGAGGATGACAGAAATTACAGACTAACCAGTACCGAACAATGCGTGTGAAGCCAACAAGAGGATTGTGTTAAAGATAACATTTAAGGTTATCTACATGCTCGTAAATTTCTGTTTGAACATTCTTCCACTGAATAGACATATACATAAAAGGTTAGGGGTAGAGTCTTATGTAAGAGTATCCAATTGAGATAATGAGGTTTTAGATTTTCGTCAATTGAAGTAATACAGACATGAGCTATGGGATTCCGAATTATCGCCTACCGCAATGTGTTACATCAACTAATGTAGGATTAAGTAGGAAAAAGCTAAGATTTATTAAGCGTGACATCAGATCATAACGAAACTGTCTGTTTTTCTGAACCGTGTAAGAAAAACTAAGACAGATAAGAGTATACAAGATAACTTAAACCAATGCTTCCAGACTACAAGTAATAATGGCTCAAAATCGACCTTAGTGGTGTAGAACCTTTCATTCATCCTAATCATATTTCGTTGTCTGCTTGAATCTTTTTTTATTCCATGCCTTTAATGACTACTGACGATATTATTTTCACTTCTTTTTTTTACTTCCACTCTGGTATGGTGTTGAAACACCTTGGACTGTTAAACAGTAAAGCTAAGTTCTAAAGTTGTTGATATCTGTTTGATATAAGACAGTAAAAAGTGTTAAAACGAGACACTGGTTACGTTTATTCGCCTTAAAAAGATAACTGATTCAGCAAACTGTTCACTGAATGCTACAGATCCATACGACAACCTTACATATTGATAGGTCATTTGCTGTTTTTATGTGAGTTAAGCAAAAATAGCAATGCTATGCTACTGAATTTTTCAGATAACGGAGACTTTAACCTCAAATTAACAAGAAGACGTTTAATTTAACGTTTTTGAGATTTAGGGGTTAAGAGTAGAAAAGAAAACATATGGACAGTAGTGTATAACATATGGTGTGATTTGTCTATAGGTGACTAGTGTTTGTTTGTATGCCATGTTAAACATCTGGAATAATCTATTTTTTGTACTGATTGGTCACGGGAGTGCAACCAATTTCAGGTTGTCTAGTCCTGAGTGCAGATCGAATTCTATCGATCACATTTGCAATGTGGCAACCAAGCTAGGAAGCTCAGCATCGCGGTGCACATTATTAGATATTAGTTGGTTGGAGGCAATCGGTAGGAAGCCCTGCACCTAGGTTTCGTGCTTTTTGGCACTCGTCAGCAAGGCGTATCTGCAACCTCGACGGAACTGATATCGCACCTGAGGTTCGAACCCGCGTCACCCAGCTATTCCTGCCGAACGCCTCCAACCAACTAATCTATTTATTGTTTACATATAGATAGTAATTCCATTTTATTTTGTTTGCATAAATTGTCGTTTTTCTTAACCTATCTAGATGCTTATGGACAAGGGAAATTTATCGTAATCCATCAACCTAAAATATCCTGGAGCATGCCGACAAATTCAATAATTAAAACACAATGAAACAGAAGATAATTATAAATATCCATGTACAGAACTATTTCACATATGTTTGATTCTCTCGAGCTCTTTCGCTTTTCAAATTAAACATCGGTCAGAGGTTACAGATATCTTAACCTACCAATCAGATTTAACTAAAGGGTTTTGGTGCCACATCATTTAGGATATGGTTACAAAACTCTATTTTAAAGAACTGGATTCCATGTTAGATTATTATTCATCTATTGATTGAAGTTCGGTTTACTTATTTTAGTAATGACTATCATCCTATATTTCGCTAAATTTTCGTGCTTCGCTATCCTGACTGACTCCGATTCATTACTTTGATCGATTTACTTGACTTCAAAATCATTATACGACATTTAGTAGACTGCTGCACCAAACATTGAAAATATTTTGAAAATCTGACCACCATTATGCGGAAAGAATGAAGAACTGTTGGATTATAAAAATAAAGGTTAAGAGTTCTGTGATTAGTCTGATAATGCTAATAATATCACTGTATACTAAAATAAATAAACTATGTAATATGGAACTATACCCTAACACAGTATCTAAGTCTAACTCTTATACTGAAATAAATGTGGATTAGTAGAAAAGTTTAATACATCATATAATTAATGTCCTCTTATGTCGATAAAGGACCAAGAACAATAAAAACATACTAGTCATTTAAACTAAATACAAAATAACAGTTTAGCTAATTACCAAACAATAAGGGGTATTGAAAAGATATATCCTACTATTATGACATGGAGTCTGAAAAACTTCTCTTTGCATTCATGTAACAGTAGGACTTATCATTAGACTTTAATATAATCAAATTTTAGTAATGCCAAAATAAGAAATATGCCCAAGATGTGTATTTAAACACCGATGATTCCGAAAATTATATCGGACATAAAACGAACAGTAAGAAATAACACTTTTCGAGTATTTTACAACAACCAAAAATCTGAATCATTTACAAAAATTAACGACTGTCGTCAATAGACTTGCTGGCATTCTGAAATCAAGTGTCTATGCGTTTAAGTTGTCTGATTAGCCAATTCTAAAAATGGAAGTGAATTCTGGAGTCATTCAGAGTGTCTGAGTGAAAGAACCCTGATATTTGGTATTCTATGGAGGATGATCACATAGAGTTCTCTTTATTCACGCTTTTCCCTATCTTTTGTGATACTTTCGAGTTTTGTCACCTCATATAAAACTGTTTTCTAATTTCAAAATTGTCAGTTAAAGTGGAACCTCAATGAAATCGTTATCTTCTCTTCGGTATTGAGTGAACGAAGTAGCAGAGAAAATTGTTATTCATTCATTAGTTTAGCCAAATCTCACATTAGAAATCTAGGACAGTTTACATAAAAAGAAAACACAAGTCACCTTAATTGAGCGTTGTATGATAACAATAAAACACCTGATACTTAAGTTTTCTTAAACGCATGAATGGTGTTTTTAATACTTCTTGCTACTGAACGCTACACCTTTATACATGGATATATATAAACAGCCTATTTATTGGGAGAGGGGTTTGATTGCTATAGGTTGATGAGTGAATACACTATTAAGAAGCTCATAAGCAACAACAAACTTACAGTCCATGAATTCCTAATCTGATCTTTGACTGATTAGTGAGTCCTCAATTTATGGGGATCACATCACTACGAAATAGGTTTAAGAAAAATCCATTTAACTAAAGTAACTACTACGTGTCAACATCCCAGGTTGGAGAATAACCTTAGATGTGGATAAAAATGCATTTCTTAAACATTTTCAAAAAATTTTGTTATTTGTTTCAAATCTTTTTGACACACTCTATGACTTAACGCTTAACTGTTCAAAGCTGCGTGTGCTCAAATTGACTTTCAGCAGAAATATCACCACTAATCGAGATGCAGATAAAATTATCGCATAGGAAGAAACATTTATCTTGTATTCTATTAATGACTATTACTAAAAATCACCAAGATAAGGGATATGGTATTCGTTATCAGGCGTAATCGATATGCGAACCATATGCAGTAAAAAAATGTTATCTTTGGTGATTGTATTCTAGTAATCATTGCAGTTAGTAATATTAACTGTGAAAGTGTAGCTGGGCACATACTTGAATGTTCTGAAACATTAAATTCCCAAAAATATCCATACTACACAAAATATACTACTTTTTGACCTTCACTTTCCGGTGGGAGAATTTAACTAATATAAGAGAAAACTGATAAAGTGAAGAGATAAGTAAAGCTTTAAAGGTAATGAAAAAGAAGTAAAATTTAAACTGCCAGTCAGGATAACATTAACATGAGAAAACCAAGATTATTCATGCAGAAAGTAGAATTAAGATCAGTAGACTGAGGATAAATTCTATTTCTCTACATACCAACTAGTTTACTTCAAATTTTAGTCAGTTCTTAATGTAGTGTAAACCATTCACATTTTGTGGAGTCAGTGTCGTTACTGCAGTCACAGAAGAACTGATCAGTTAAAAAATCATGATTTTTCAGCATAATCTGTGAACTTACGAGAAGTCACTCAATAATGTGCATTGTGAAAACCAACTTTGCTAATCATATCTATGAATTGTGATTCTGCAAGAAAACAGTAGCCTGAAAACTTTATTACTCTTCATTTGTTGGTTGTTTCATCACTCACATTCCTCCTTTTGTTAACTTCAATATCCTTGTTCCTTTACTAGCCAGCTTTTTCTGTGCTGCTGTGAACTATGTTACTTTGGACTAGTGCAGTTCTTCTTTGTGAATTTTTGCTTTGTTTTCCCTGGTTGAATGAAATGGTGTGCATCTGTTGATATATAAGTTATGGATCTTCTAAGCAGCTTTCGACCCGAGAAAAAGGCTACGTCTACAGGTTAATGGATTAACAGAATCTGAAATACGACCAGAAATAAAAATAGAAAACAACGGTAACAACAATAAGTACATACTTCAATAGAATCAGAACTGTCTGAATGTTTTCGACTAGACGCTTGATCTCGTTCCAGTGCATGCAATACATCGAAATCTGATTGGTTTACGCATACAACATTATTTTTCGTACCATATTCATTATCTACAGTTGGCTAGAATAAAAAATGATTGAGAAGAAAATGAAGAAACAGTAAACAAATAGTATGGTATAGAAAACTTGAAGGAAGCAGTATAGTAGGCAACAAAAAATTAGTAAGACCTTTAGCACAACAAAACGTTAAGTAGACGACACTGCGCAGCTACGAGAGTTATATACTGAGAAATGGAGTGTATTTTAGATTTAAAAGTGTAAACCATTCAACATATCTGAAACCTTTCTCTTCGTTTACCTCATGATTCACGGTGATAGAGAGGGAATGATTAAAGAGGTTAGTAGAATAGTACAACTTTGATTGATAGGTGAACTTTACTCCCTCGGTAAAAAGACCAGGTTACTTGGTAAGAGGCCAAGTTATAAACTAATTCAATTACATTTGAAATCAAGTACAGAAGTATTCAATTGTTTTTCCAGAGAGAATGCGTACACTTATCCCTCCTGGACATAATTTCTATCAAACTAACTCAACAGCTACGCCAAGACATTTTACGTCTATCATCCGGCCCATAGTTGTTACCATATAGTATTTGATTATAGCCATTGCGACCACTAAGTCCAATTCTACCGTATAGAACATCAGTCACTTAAGGTTCTTTCAAATAAGAGAAGTCGTTTGAACGGTGACAATATTAAAAACTGCTACTGTCAGAGTGTAAACGATTCACACTGTAGAAAGGTTCCAATAGTTGGGTCGTACGGGTCGCTGGACATGGAGAAGTGATGGCAGTAAGGTGTTTCTGTTGGGTTACCAAGACTTACAGCTATGCTGAAAATCACCATTTAATTATTGCCCACTTTAGGAAATTGGTGCATCTTCAAGCAATACGCTATAAGTCCCAATTATTGCAAAGGCTTACGTTTTTAGAACACAGTAGATGAGTGAGAGCTTGACCTGAGATTCAGTGCTCTAACAAATGAGTTACGTTCCCACCTAATCTAGAAAGATGGCTCAAAAATAGCCTTGAAGACTTGATATTTCGTTTTCTAAAGTCTCCTCTTGTTAGCATTTTATGTTAATCCATCAGGCTAGAATTCCTTGTCTTTTTCAATTTAGTAATTTAACCAAATATACTTATTAAGACTTGCGTAATGGGTTAAGAGCTACACTTGTTTTGTGCGGCTTATGATACGAAATGGTCACCTAGACCGATGTTTGAACCTGGAAGCTATTACTAGAAAGACAATGAACATCTCCCAACCTTCCGATAAAAATAATTATGGTAACATTCGCATATATGATATGGGGATAGAGAGAGAGATGACTACTCAAGAGAGAGACCAATCAAAATGTAGTTTATATTATCACTCCTATAGTTAGACAAACAGACGGTGGATCAGCCAATCAATAAGATTATTTTAAACAGCAAACTATTTATTAGCCGTATTTTCCGTTGTTTTGGTCTTCGGTCTTTTCGACTCGAATACACGAATCTACACGTCCATCATGTCTTCTCCATTATAATAAGTCGGATCAGGAGTCAACTAGGAATTTGTTGAACGTTGATGGTTGACACTGGATATCGATGCATTGCTAGCGGCCATAGCACGTAGTAGTTTTCGAATCATAACAATATGACATTCGAATTTCAGATGCTGCAAACAGTTAAAGAACAACGAAATAAATAAATTGTCAGGTCATTTTGCTCCAATTATTGTGAATCCCCCAGTAAAGTTCATCGAGAGAAAAAAGTATATGCATGACTGAATGCTCGAAACCAGTTCCATATCGATGGATTCACTGAAATTACTCTCCACTACGATTTAATTATTTGCCAGAAAAGGAATGTTTAACGTGAAAATACAGATGTCCTTACTACTGGTAATACATATTTGAAAGGACATGAAAAAGTCCACAGAATATGTAAGATACAATATTTATTTTCAATATTCTTAAAGAATGAATGAGTTCTTCAAAATCTGTACTGAGATCGACGCAGCTGTCACTTTTAAAAAAGGAATTATGTTACCAGTAGGTACCTCAGATAACTGCAAAACATTAAGTCCTAAAACTTTAGATACCATGGTGTTTGTAATACTACTACTATCACGACCATTTAATCAGTGAATTAGAAATCATCGATGGAGAATCATAACACGTATCTAACTATGGAGTAGCGCATTTACACTTTTCTATTGATCTTCCTGCAGGAAATGACAGATTTTTAAGTTGCTATTTGAAATGCCAAATTGTTTGCCTGAAAATATCAAAGTATACCTGATTATGGATTTCATTAAACAGGGTCAAGAAGTCTTATATTGCCATTCTGATCACTAGGGATACAATTAACTTGTCTATTAGTTGTTCAGCATAATCAGTAAGGTGTTCAGAAGTGTTCCGAGCTAACCAGTTTAGAAATTCAAAAAATTAGGAAAACAAATTTTCTTAACAAGTCATCAGAACTAGTAATATTTTATAAGAGAACAATTGTGGAATTCCTTTTAAAACAACCTATAACACGCTAAGGATTTGAGTTTTCGTTTATTGGTATAATTAATCGATTCGCAATCATGAAGTCATGGTTTATCTTTGTCTCATCGACAAATGTTGATAGTCCTTAGATATTAAATGTAACACAGAGTCGTACAAGAAGTGTTAAGTTGTGGCTCATTGGTTCAGGGAGGTGACTTTCAACCAGTGGGTCGTGGGTGACAACACCGCTCCACCTACCAAGGTTCGGGTCGCCAGCGTTATGATTTCGAAAATTACTACGTGCTATGGCCGCTAGCAATGCATCGATATCCAGTGTCAACCATCAACGTTCAACAAATTCCTAGTTGACTCCTGATCCGACTTATTATGATGGAGAAGACATGATGGACGTGTAGATTCGTGTATTCGAGTCGAAAAGACCGAAGACCAAAACAACGGAAAATACGGCTAATAAATAGTTTGCTGTTTAAAATAATCTTATTGATTGGCTGATCCACCGTCTGTTTGTCTAACTATAGAAGTGATAACATGAAGTGCATTTTGAAATGGTGGAGAATATCTATAGCTCAGGTGGATGGTTTTGGTTGTGTTGTTCTCTGAGCTGGGCTGTTTAATCGTGCAGCTTTCACAAGCATCTCAGAATGCACAAAACTTAAATACTCGAGTATGATGGATCTCCTCATTCTGTGTCTGACAACATATCTCCAATTCAATGGCAATATATACAAACAGATGAAAGGAACTCCAATGGGGTCACTGATATCCGGACTAATTGAAGAAGCAGTAATGCAGAGACTGGAAGCCATCATTCTACTGTTGATTCAACCAAAAATTTGGACTCGCTATGTAGGCGATACTTTTGTCATTATTAAAGAAGATGATATAGAAAACACACAGTTCGATCAACAATGTTTTTAATGACATCAAATTCACAATGGAGAAAAGGAGTCAAGCAACCAGCTACCATTCCTAGACGTTTTAGTCAGTAGGACAAATGCCAGAAGGCTGGAAACTCAAGTATGCAGGAAGCCAACACACACTGATCAAATCCTCGACTACAGTAGCAACAACGCACAAAATTAGTTGCGTGCAGAAACTGTTCAAAAGAGCGAGAACACACTGCAGTACAACAACTCCATGGAGAAAAAAAAGAAAATTACTTGATGTCTATCCTATAGAAAAACGGCTACCCACGAAACTTTATCAGAAGATGCTTATCCTCTACATCATCAACTACAAAGTCATCGAGAGAAACCAACAAACGTATCATCCTACCGTGCATAAAGAATATATCAGAAATCACGACAAGATTACTGAGACCACTTGGAATTGGTGTGGCTCACAAAGCAACAAATTCGCTTTAAACACTATTATGCAGACCAAAGGATGCGACAACCAAGGAAGAAAAAATATTATTTACAAAATCAACTGCAATAACTGTAGTCAACACTACATTGGACAAAGTGGTCACCCTCTTAGCCTTCGTCTACATGAACACCAATTAGCTATTAAACGTCACAACATTTCATCACTTATTTTGATGCACGTGGATAATTATGGGCATGAATTCAATCTTGACAATGTAGAAGTCTTAGACAGAGGAGACACAAAGGATATCAGAGAATTTCTAGAAGCTTGGCATTCAGGTCAGTCAGCAATCAATAGATGGACAGACACAGACCCAACCTATCAACAAATGATAAACGACAGAAAGGTCAGAGGTCAGACGGAAGAACAGCCAACATGAAAACCTATGCAGTCAATGACACATTAATCAAAGGAAACAACCAATCACAAACCAATTCACCAGGGCAAGCTACTAAATCACTCACGGAGAGATACTGACAGCTCACTTCATACTGAAGTTAGTGCTGAAGATGTCGTCTAGCAAGACGATGAAAGCTCCAAGATTAAACAACCCAGCTCAGAGACCACAACCAAATTAATGTACATTTGATTGGTCCCTCTCTAGACTAGTCATTTTTCTCTATCCCCATAGCTAGGTCGTAGCATTAGCCCTCAAACAATAGGTATGGTTCACTGCCATCTACTGCACGAATGTGCACAAGGTTGCTGAGTGCATTTCGTGTTTAATTTCGTTTCGTACAAGAACTAGTATTACATTATTAATTTGCATTTATACGAAAGCATCTAAATAAAAAGTAAAAATCGCTTAGATTTCTTTGAAAGATTGTATGATACTGGATACTTTTTAGTGGCCAATAAGCTTACTACCCAAGTGACAAACCTTGATAAATTGAACTGAATTTCGTCCTGTGCATCAGTTTGTTGAAAGTCACATGACAACGTCACTGGCATACAGTCTCACTTATCTGAAAAGACATTTAAACAAAGCTTCCAAAGATTAAAAATGGAAATATTCCTCTTGGTTACTTATCGTTATTATCACTTACCTTAGTTGGATCATGATACCACGCTCCATCAATAAAATATTTGTATTCATGAGTGCCAGGCTGACAGTCAATAATTACGTAAGCTCCTGAGTTTCTACAAATGGACAAGAATTATAAAGAGGAAATACATTATACTTCGAGAATAAGTAAAACTATTTATATACTTACGAATGATACTTTAGCTGGTGCGAAAGTTGACGTAAGCTCGCAAATAGCAGACCAGTCTTGTGTATTTATGCCAATGTCTCATCTAAACTAATCCACTAAGCTGATGCAACTTTATAAATACATGAATTGGTTGATACCCTCAACAGCTCAACTTGCTATCCATAACCCAATCGTCGATAGACTAATTCTGCAGGATTATTTTACGTTTAACAGGTGAAAAACCCACGATAAATATTTTCTCCAGATGTTTTGAAAACCATATCTTTTCAGCGTTTTCATCTCACTAGTCTATATTGTCTGAGTAACACAGGTTACGCAGAAGCTATTCGGACAATAAGTCGGAGGTTAGCAGTCACTTCATAAGAATGCCCCTGACGAAGTTGAACAGAAGTGGTGACAAAAAATATCCTTATCCCAAAAACTCCTCTCTTCAGAAGATAATATGTAGCTGTCTTAGCTGGAAGGGTGAGTCTCAATTAGCACGTTATATTTTCTAACCTCGCCTGGTTAACTAGTTTACTAGTTACTAGCCGGTCCTAAGCCCGGGTAAAGAGGGAAGGTTGGGCATAGGGCTAGCAACCCTACCCCGTAAAACAAATCTAACCGCTAAAGAAACTTCAAAGCACAAACAAAATATAAAAAATGAAAACAAACTTATTCCCCCTTGGAATCGGAGAGGCGAAATGACGCCAGTTGGTGAAAGCCTTCGGGAAGCCAATTGGCCGATGTGTCTTCTCTCCCTCGATGAAAGCGAAAGTAAACGTGGGGACATGGAATGTCCGCACGATGTTTGAACCCAGTAAGGCAGCCCAGATCGCAAACGAGATGAGAAGGACTCGCACTGAAGTGCCAGGCTGGAAATCTGCAAACGCAGATGGAATGGGAGTGGAGTCTCCAAACTGTCAACTGGAGAATCAATAATCTACTCCGATATTGTCACCCAGACGCCAACCACGAGCACACTGAGTTATGGAGTGGCTATCATGATGTCCTCAAGAGCATCGAAGGCTCTCATGCAGTGGGAACCAATCTCCTCCAGGATCATGACAGCAAGATTCAACTCAAAAGGAAGAAAGGTCACAATCATACAATGCTACGCACCTACAAATAGTGCAGAGCAAGAGAAAAAGGAGGAATTCTACAGACAACTTCAATCAACACTGGACAAGACGTCAGTTGGCGATATCAAAATTCTGATGGGCGACATGAATGCCAAACTGGGAGGGGACAACACAGGAAGAGAAGTAACCATGGGTCGAGAGGCGCTAGGTGAAATGAATGAGAATGGAGAATTGTTTGCAGAATTCTGTGCATTCAACGATTTGGTGATTGGAGGCAGTGTGTTCAGGCACAAAGATATCCACAGAGCGACATGGATTTCACCAGATGGACACACTAAAAATCAAATCGACTTTATCTCAATCTCAAGAAAATGGAGACGCAGTCAGCCTACTTGACACAAGGTCAAGAAGAGGAGCAGATGTAGGTTCAGACCACTATCTAGTGCAAGGAACCTTCGAAATCAAGTTAAAAGCCTTCAAGGAAGCTGGTGATAGACCTCAATTCAAGTACAACACTCGGAAACTGAAGGATGAAACTACAAAGGAGATCTTCAAGGCAGCCATCAAGACAAAATGGGAGACATCGAGCAACATCCCTGAAGAAACCTGTGTGGAAGAACACTGAAAGTCTTTGAAAGCTATGTGGAAAGAAACCTGCACAACAGTATTAGGAAGGAAGAAGAAAGAAGACAAGGAATGGATCTCGACGGATACCTGGAAGCTGATAGAGCAAGGAGAGGAGGATGGTGAAGCAGAAGATAAACCAGTGCAAGGATGCTCAACGACAAGAGGAGCTGAGCACAATGTATAAAACACTGAACAAAGAAGTGAAGAAGAGTGCACGCAAAGACAAAAGACACTTCTACGAAACACTGACAAGTGAAGCAGAACAGGCTGCAGGTAAGAGAGACCTGACGACATTGTATCAAATAACCAGGTTGCTATCAGGGAAGAGACCAACACAGATGAAACCAATAAAAGATGAAGAAGGAAATTTAATTACAAAAGAAGAGAAACAGAGGAAACAATGGGCCGACCACTTCAAAAGCTCTTGAATCGACCACCACCTGCACTTCGTCCAGAAATACCACCTGCAGCCGCTGAATTACAAGTGAACATAAATCCTCCAACAAAAATGGAAGTCCTGAGCTCCATAAAGCTACTAAAATGTGGGAAAGCAGCAGGACCAGATGGGATACCGCCAGAAGCACTGAGAACAGATGCAGAGACAACAGCGGCCATGCTCACACCACTATTGCAGAAGGTGTGGAAGGAAGAGAAGGTACCCGCCTATTGATTGGAAGAAGGGTTACCTTGTCAAACTGCCGAAGAAGGGAGACCTCAGTGCTTGCAAGAACTGGCGCGGAATCACTCTCGTGTCCACCCCAAGTAAAATATTAAGCCGCATCATCCTGGAGAAGCTAAAGGATGCACTGGATTCAAAACTGCGACCGGAACAGGCAGGCTGGCTTCAGGAAGTACAAATCATGTGCCGACCAAATTGCAACGCTTCGTATCATCATAGAACAGAGCATAGAATGGCAATCAGCTCTCTGCCTCAACTTCATCGACTTTGAGAAGGCCTTTGACAGCGTCGACCGAGAGGTAATTTGGAAACTGCTTCAATACTACGGAGTACCGCAAACCTTTATCCGCCTCATTCAACAACTATATGAAGATGCCACATGCCAAGTAATCCACAATGGAAAGCTCAGTGATGCCTTTGAAGTGAAGACAGGAGTGAAACAAGGTTGCCTACTATCCCCCATGATATTCCTTATTGTGGTGGACTGGATCATGCAGCAAACAGTAGGCAGCGAGAAGAGGGGGATACACTGGACGACGGAAAAGAACCTAGAAGACTTGGATTTCGCCAACGATGACTTGTGCCTAATGTCACATAAACTTGAAGATCTGCAGGCAAAACTAACAAGTTGATAGAAGAGGTAGGGCAGCGAAGATGGGACTCCAGGCGAATATAGAGAAGACAGAAGTGATGAAGATACCGCATCACCACCACCACCAACAACAACAAACTCCAATCACCGTCAACGGGAGAAACTTAAAGGAAGTAACCTCCTTCACTTATCTAGGAAGCACTGTTTCAACTACAGGCGGGACGGACGAGGACGTCAAAGTGAGAATCGGGAAAGCAAGACAGGCGTTCATTAGCCTGAAACCAGTGTGGAGATCTTATGCACTCAGCATGCGGAACAAGATACGGATTTTCAACACCAACGTCAAGTCAGTGCTCCTGTATGGTTCAGAGACTTGGCGCGTCACGAAAGGCATTTCCAATAAACTACAGACATTCATCAACAACTGCTTACGCTCGCTGCTGAAGATCAGATGGCCAGAAAGAATAAGCAACAAGGAACTCTGGGAACGAACCAACCAAGAACCTATCACTCAACAAATATGCAGGAAGAAGTGGAGATGGATTGGCCATGCACTGAGAAGGCCGACTGAGGACATCACGCGTCAGGCCCTCGAGTGGAGTCCCCATGGGAAGCGACGAGTTGGACGTCCGAGGGTGACATGGAGGAGGTCGTGCGAGGAGGAAATGAGAGCTTCTGGGCTGTCGTGGGACCAGGTTCAAAATATCTCAGAGAACAGAGGTCACTGGAGGCGTGCTACTGAAGCCCTATGTTCCACTAGGAACCCAAGGGACTAATAATAATATAATAATAATAATTTTTTGGTACTCGAAATGATTAAGTACTACTGCAACTGACTCTAGATATGAAAGCCAAGACCTGTCTCACATGGAGTCGAGGACGCATGCTACTGAGAAGGCCAAAAGCAGGACTATATATATATATATATATATATATATATATATATATATATATAAAGCACTTACATCCTATATGACAATTTAGTCTATCATCCTACTAACCCCGTTTTTAGCGTCAGCTGACAAAACCTAACCGTGGAAAGTAGTGGCTGTAGGTTAGAATCCCGCTACAACCCGCGTTTTCTCCCAAACGCAATCAATGCGAATCACTACGTTTACCGTAATAAAGCTATTTCAGATAACCTCATTAAAAATGTCATGTTTTACAAAATTAGTAAGGTTGTCTACGCTATTATGATTGCTGAAAGAAAACAGTTGTCCATTCCTGTGAATGAAAAAAAGTCAGCGGATTACGCTACTATGAATGAATTACGAAAATCCTTACATCTAGCCACATCCTGTCTTAGATTGTGTTTTCATCTTCGCAACAAATTATACAAAATCAAACAGCTTACAAATTTTGAACTATAAATGTCTCCTGCTAGCATATAAAACAGCAACAAAATATATATAACTGAAGTGAATAACAAAGTTACCTTGATGCGAAATTTTAGCTGAATTAAAACCGGGTTAGAAAAAAGTTAGAGATGTCTACAGTAAGATGTGGCACCAACTCATAAAGTCACCAGTTTCTAATCTGAACCGCATAGGAAACTGTAATTCGTCTTAGTCAAGGTTTCTCAAATGTTAGTAATGAATTGTTGAAGAACTTCGATAAAGTGGCTCGAAGTTAAACACAATTGCGCCAATATATTCACTCTTCATCTTCCTCGATAGTTACTAACATTTGATGACCTACTATTTATCAACTTTTCATCTTTTAATGTACTTCCTGCTTATTTTAGAGCTTTCTTAAAGACATTTCCGGTTAACTTTCTTGCGGTGTTGTGAAACATGTTTATGCGATGATGAAATTCATATTCAGGATTTATAATGTTCTGTCTTAGTAAATTACTGTAGGAAAGCACGATTATGACAAAGTATGTGTCTCGTTTGGAGAACAGCAAAAACGATAACCTGCTGACATGTTAAAACAAAAACTTTGATCAGAATCTTATGATAATGAGA